TCAGTTTTCAAAGTTTCGATATATCCTTAATGTGTGCGATTTCTCCTTTCTGAAGATATATCACACTTGATATATTGATCAATATGGCGCTTTTTAAAATATAAGAATTTTACACCGACGTCTATAGTAACTGTGCGTAATTTGGTTTTTGTCGTATAAACTCTAACTTTTAACGTATAACAACAAATATCTCATGATTAATAATTGTAGATGCTTGACATAGCAAAATTTTGGGCGTTGGCACATCCGGGTCAGATTTACATTATATATTTGTAATTCATCATAACTTGCAAAGTACAGTAAAAACTGTATTAAGTGACCACGCAGGGGAAAATTCAAAAACGGTCTCTTACTGGAGGTGGTCTCTTATGAGAGAATTGAGTCAGCTGAAACAATTTCATTCATTTCCTTTATTTCATTCTATGTATTAGAAATCCACGCGTTCACCACTCATAGCACCAAAAACAATGTTATTCCTTTAACAGTGGTCCATTTACTACAGCATTCCGGGCGCAACGATCTTTAAAAAACTCCCAAGTTAATTTGTTGATTTCTTCATTGCCGGTGAACCGCTTCACACATTTCCGATCGGGAGAAACATTGCTTTCAAAATCCTCCATAATTTTTCGACCACTTTTCCCGGCTTTCACCAAGTTGATGACCTTGACCCTTTCATTTAATGTTAAAACTTTACGTGTAGGCTTCAACATTTTAAAAATGAATGGCTCTTGCTTAGCTTCCTTTTTATATCGATAATAGACGGACATTAATCATTAACAAGCTATAAAATTAATCCTTAGTCCGATTAGCGAATAATCTCAATTAATCTCATGGATGTGTGAAACAGGTGATGTTTAATCAAAGGAGTTAATAAGAGTCGTGGTCGCTTAATTGACTCAATATGATTACACGGGAGGGGGGATTTTATTGTGGTCGCATATTGAAGGTAATTGCTTAATAAAGGTGGTCGCGTGAGCAGGATATACTGTATACATTTTCCACCGATAATAATTTGCAGGAAAATAGGTCACTAGTTTGGCTAATATCATAAGAAGATAAATCTCTTTGGGCTTTTTACTTATAAAAAAGGAATAGGTTTAACAATTGACTAAATTTTCATTTTTGACCTTCATCTTTGATGACCTTGACAATGTCAATTCATGTTTTGATCTATGATGTCCGACACGTCTTTTCGGTTTTATAGGCTTCCAAAAACAGCAATTTTCAAGACTTTTTAGGCTCATATCTCGTGATCTTGACCTGTGGTGAATATGTCGCCTGAACAAAAGTCATAGCCCTTGACGAGATCTATCACATGATGCCTTTAATTTTGTTGTACGATGTTTAAATCTGTTTTTATAGCCATTTGAATATTGCGAATAGGACAATAACACAAGCGGAGTGCCAGGGAGACACACATGAAAAGTTGAAAATTTTGTGGTGGGCACAATAGAAGCTACAATTTTCAATGGATTTTGTTGCTGTGAGCGTTGGGGATGATAAGACGATTTTTGGATGAGCAGTTTTGAGTTATTGCCCTTGACTTAGTAAAATTGAGTCGAAATTTTGTTGGGGGCACAATAAAAGCTACAATTTTCAATGTATTTTGATGAAACTTGGTGTGAGCATTGGGATTGATAAGACGGCAGTCAAGTTCAAATTTGATGATTTTTTGATGAAAGGTTTTTGAATTATTGCCCTTGACTTAGTAAAATCGCGTCAAAATTTTGTTTTGAGCACAATTGAAGCTACATTTTCAATGGCATTTGATGAAACTTGGTGTGAGCATTGGAATTGATAAGACGTCGGTCAAGTTCGAATTTGCCGATTTTTTAACAAGTGTTTTTTGAGTTATTACTCTTGATTTAGTAAAATACATCAAATTTGACTTGAAAACACGATGGGGGCTACAGTTTTTATCGGATCTTGATGAAACTTGGTATGCAGGTATATATTAATGAGAGTAAAGTTCAAATTTGTCTATGTTAGTTAGTGTGAATTTGATGATACGTTATTATATATTTTTGAAATTTCAGACACGCGAGGAGTGTGATAATTCAATGCTTCTGGGTTATTGCTATTGATTTAAAAAGATTTGTGAAAAAACTCAGCATAACTGACCCTTAATTGATGAGATATTCAGGGTTTTTGAACTACATATGCATAATGAAGATCTTCAATATGAGAAATTTGGTATTGTTATGAAGATTTAAAATAAATTTTGGTCAATAAAGATTTAGTTATCATCTCTGATAGCTGCCAGTGGGCGTATGTTACCTTGCCTGGCAAGCTATCTTCCAATAGTAAATTGCATTTTAATTGCACAAATCCGAATTTGGTGCATGTATGAATACAATGCATGGAAAATGTTTTAGTCCCTGATTTCGCTTGGCTGTCTTGATAAAATGTATCTCTATGTGGACGTATATTGTCGGCACCCCTGTCCGTCTGTCAGTCCGTCTGTCAACATTTGCTTGTAAACGCTCTAAAAACTAGATTTTTTGATGGAATAAATGAAATTCGCTATGTGTATACATATTTATAAAACGAAGATCATTTTCTAATTTAAACTATTTTCGACCGTTAGAGCAGAGTTATATTATTAAGGCTTTTCAAGATTTAGGCCTCTTACATCAGTTTTGAGGAGTTATCACCCTTTAACCTCTATACAGTAAGTGCTTCTATCAACATCAATTGCTCGTAAACACTCCGTCCGTTCGTCAACATTTGCTTGTAAACGCTCTAAAAACTAGATTTTTTGATGGATTCAAATGAAATTCGGTATGTGTATACATATTCATAAAAGGAAGATCAAGTACGAATTTGGGCTATTTTCGACCCTTAGAAGCAGAGTTATTGCCCTTGCCCCAAAATCTTGAATATGCTATTACTCTCTTTTCAACCAATTTTGATGAAACTTAAAATGGATGTTATTGGACCTAAATCGAAAGGTTTGAGAAAGTTAAGTTTACTTCCGATTAAATTTAAGGCTTTTTCAAGATTTAAGCCTCTTACGTCAGTGTTGAGGAGTTATCGCCCTTTAATCTCTACACAGTAAGTGCTTCTATCAACATCAATTGCTCGTAAACACTCTAAAAACTAGAGTGTTTGAAAGAATCAAATGAAATTCGGTATGTGCATACATATTCATGAAACGAAGGTCCATCAGTCCGTCCGTCCGTAACATTTGCTTGTAAACGCTCTTAAAACTAGATTTTTTGATGGAATCGAATGTAATTCGGTATGTGTATACATATTCATAAAACAAAGCTCGAGTCCGAATTGGAGCTATTTTCAACCGTTAGAAGCAGAGTTATTGCCCTTGCCCCAAAATCTTGAATATGCTATTACTCTCTTTGTTTTCAACCGATTTTGATTAAACTTAAAATGGATGTTTCGTTTTTACCGTCCGCATGCCATGGTGGGCATATATGGCTGTGGTCCACTTTCTTTAAACCTAACCCTCCATATGTAACAAACTATAAATTTGTAATAAAGCATTTGCTGCTGAGTGGACATCTTCATGTCATCTTTGTTGTCAACATTTCTTTGCACATGAAACTTGCTCTACATGTGCATATGTTTATTAATAATTATCATGTGTAATCTACTGATGTTGTCGGGTTTCTACCGCTTTCTCATGTTGTCCACCGCTCTACCGACAGGATACCCAATTCTACCGATTTTTTGTTTTTTTCTTGACCAAATTTCAATGGACCTACCGTTTTCAATGTTCAAATTCTCTATCATAAATCAACAAAATATCTATCATTACTTGCATCTTGATTGTCGGTAACACACGTTAATCTCATCACGTAATAATTTTATCATTGCCTGATTAATTAATCCCCCAATTAAGATGGTAATTTGATCTATTTTCACCCAATAATGTGTATTTTAAGCCCACGTGACACACTTTTTATAACAACATCCGGTAGATTCTACTTTCGCTTTTACAATAAATTTTACAGTAAACCTACTTTTACTAAAATACGAAACCTTTAAGTCTTAATAGTATTATATACTGTCAATCTTTGAGGTCTATAATAGGCCAATATAACATAGACATCGTTTCAGAAATCTTTTTCATTATCGATAGATTATCATGCGCGACTGGATGTCTAATTCTTATGTAAACTCAAACTTCGTTTCATAAAATCGTTTTGTAATTTTACTGTAGCCTGTAAATATTTATTGCCTGCATAATGGGCTAACTTATTACAAGTCTTTCCATATCTGAAAAAGTGTCAAAATTGAAGCAGCAAATTTGGTTGAATACTTCTTGAGGGTGTTGCAGGAAAATTATGTAATGATCGGACTGGAGATATTTTAGATGTCATGAATTACACCTTTGGAAAAAGTAACATTGCCAGTACATATTATGTACTAAATATTGCTTTCAGAACATACTGATTTTTAATATGGTATTACATGTATGATGTATGATCAAACATCATTTCACCTTGACATTATTTTTGATTCAATCATTACTGAAGAATGACAATATTAAATTTTTTTGGGCTCCTAAACTTGAAATATCAGGCACTATTTCTAGAGTTATTATAGAGTAGGCCTATCCCTTTTATAGATTTGTTAATTTTAATTAAATTAACTGTGTCATATAGGCCTATGATCAATTTAATTAATTGACAAGGCTTAAGGCTTACTTTAAACAAAAAATAATCAATTTGGAGTTTCAAAATCATGAATTTACTCGCTTTGCAAAAATCTCACGACTTTTCACTAAATCTCCAGATTTTTCAAGGCAAATCTCCAGATTTTTTTTCTTAACCTGTACACATGTACGTCTAAGATAATTTTTCTAGAATCTGAATGGAGGCTATATTTTGATGCAGTTTGACAATGATGCATATGCATATTGGTATTATCTCAGATTTGTTGGATTTTGGTTAGATAACAAAATGTGCCCCATTTCTCACTGTCCGTCTTCTTAAACCTTACAAGGTGCAGAAACGTTTTATTCTTCATTTCATGTCTAGTATGGCCGATAGAAGTTTTAATGATTTAACCCAGTATCCTGTGATGCCTTGGGTCGTGTCTGATTATACCAGTTCATCACTAGGTAAGCTTTTCTCTCTGTGATGTTTACTGTACCACACTTTAAACCAAATTACCCCAGGATTTCATATTGGAAGCAATAAAATATTTTATACCAGACTTTGTATTTTAAAATTACAAAACAGTGAACCTGTATTATTTTATAATCACCTACCTACTTCAGGTACTTCCAAACCTTCCATTTTGGATGAAATGACACAATCATACATCCTATATGTGAGAGAGTCAGCTTTGGTGGCCTCCTGACTCCACAGAGCAACAGACAAGATTAGAATGAACCAAAACTTCAATATGGTGTCCAAATATCACAGAATTGTCCAAACATCAAAGAGTTCAACAAGAACCTCCCAAAAAGAAAGAACAGTGACAGCACTATCATCTTTCTCTTTTGACACCAAAGCAGTGCTTCAACCATGTTGTCTCTCCATTGCCCTGTCTGCAATTCAACAGAATAAGTTAAATAACATAACCTTACATCTTACTAAGCATGCATATTGAATACCTGCTGAATGATGATTGATGAAATACATCAAGACATGACAGGATGTTGTTACAACAATGTTAAAATAGTGTTGCCACAATTTTAAAGAGACAGGTAACAATCTCCTCATCTATAAACTAGATGCATTCTTGCATTTTAGAAAGGAAAAAAAATATGACAAAAATGCAAATATCAATGGCTTATGTCAACACTCTTCTTCAGCCAAGTCTAAAACTTTTTGTCGAATTAAATGAAATAGTCATAAGGTCAACAATATGAAAATCATGCAAGACACTAAAATATTTACAATTTAAAACTTGTTGAGCACTCACAGGAAATAAAAATGAAAAATAACTGACATTGAAATCACTGTGGTACTGAATAGGACTTTGCTAATGTGCTAATTTGCTACGGAATCTGAATAAATCAACCTTCTAGGCCACGGGCTTAAGCAGTCAAAAGTTGTGAAAAATTCTTTGGGGCACAATTTGAAGGATTGAGATGAAACCTGGAGTGAAAGTTTGCTGTCACCAACGGATGATCCCTATTGAAAATGAAAAGAATTGAGAAATAATTGTTCTTGAAATTCAATTTTTAGCTTATAAACACTCTAGAAGGCAGAATTCTTGACGGATTTTGACGAAACTTTGTCTGATTGTTTATCACAAGGATGAACCCTATCGAAAATCAGAAAAATCAAAAAATATTTATTATGAGTTATTGCCCTTGTTCTTAAAAATGCATTCAAGTTTTAGTCTGTAACACTCTAGAAGGCCCAATTCTTGACAGATTTTTACGAAACTTGGTAATATTATACAGTATCGCCCCACAAAGTTGAAAAGAAATGTATGACTGAAGGTTGAATATTTCATACTGGTAATTGTTACTATACTGCCAAAAATTTTTTTTCTATTATATTACTTTGTCTGGCAAGCTATCTTTAATTCATGGTTTAATTTGTCATTTGTTATCACTTCTGTATCATACCCATTTCTGCTATTTAGTTCACCATAGATTGAAACATCACCGTTTTTGGTGAAATAACCTACATCTATCTTGAGTATCTCAAAAAGGTCACAATCATATTTATTATAAAATTCACATTTATCAGGGGGGATGTAAGCAATGAAAATGTACTGATCAATTTACACCTAATAATTACAGCTTTCGAGTTGAGCTTGAAGTTGTATTGTTTTCGTCCCAGTTTGTTTCCTGTGCTTTGCTTAGACTACAGAAGTTGCAGCAACCATTCGACATTCACTTATAGATATAGGCAACAATGTGCATAAATATAAAATGGAACTTTTTTGCTAAACCGGAAGTGCAATAGTTCAATATGTGACTTAGAAGTTATTTTTGGGTCGATTTTCTTTGGATTTGCATTTTTGGAATCTACTGGCAAAATCTGAAAGGATAACACTTTAAAAATTTCAAAATTGGAAAATTTGTCGCAGACATTTTTTTTATCAAATTTTGCATTTTATTTTAACTTTTTTGCTTTTTGTCTGATTAATCTAAAAACAATTGAGCAAATTGTTTTTAAATTTTAATTTTTTTACTTTACTTCCGGTTTAAACAAGAAGTGCATTCTCACTTCCGGTGTAATTAATTTAGCTTGACGAAACTTATATAAATCGATAACCAAATGTTATGACAAAAAGATAGCTTGCCAGGCAAGGTAATATACGCCCACTGGCAGCTTTGATTTTAAATAAAAATATATGGCAGTAGAGTAACAATTACCAGTATGAAATATTCAACCTTCGGACATACACTTCTTTTGACTTACTGAGGCGATACTGAAAAATATTACCAAATTTCGTCCAAAATCTATCAAGAATTGTACCTTCTAGAGTGTGTACATGCTACAAATTGAACGCATTTTCAAGAACAAGGGCAATAACTCATACCAATTATTTTTCGATTCTTTTATTTTCAATAGGGTTCATCTTTAGGTGACAACAAACACTCACACCAAGTTTCGTTAAAATCTGTCAATAATTGAACCTTCTAGAGCTTTTATAAGCTAAATATTGAACACTCATACCAACTTCAAGAGTACATAATGTGTTTTGAAGAACAAGGGCAATAACTCATACTAAATATTTTTAAATTTTTCTGATTTTCAATAGGGTTTATCCTTGGGTGATTACAAACACTCACACCAAGTTTCGTCAAAATCCGTCCAGAATTGTGCCATCTAGAGTGTTTACAAGCTAAAATTGAGCGAGTTTTCAAGAACAAGGGCAAAAACTCATACTTATTATTTTTTGATCTTTTTGATTTTAAATAGGGTTCATCCTTGGGAGATAACAAACACTCACACCAAGTTTCATCATGGAATTGCCTTTTACATATTTCCAACATCAGACTCAAACTTGAAATGGTGTAGCGGAAAACTCCTTAATTAACTCCTTAAGAAATCCCCCATAAAATGCTTATTTCTGTTCGATTTACCTCAAAATTTTAGTAAGTCAGCCAGACAAATTAGCTAAAACAGCTAAAAGAAAAAATTTGATGGCCAGAGTTGGTGAGCCAGAGGTTTAGCAGTCTGTTACTATGAGTGAAATCAATGGCGTGTTCGCTTTATCTAATATAACCAATGAAATACTCAACAGCAACCTCTGTTTTTTTCTCTCCCTGACGATCTCTTAAAATGAAACAGAATGAAATTAAATTGAAAGAAAACATTCTTCAACATATGTCAGAAGTCGTCAAGTCTTTTGGGACGTTTTCGATTTCGTACAGGTCTAGCACTCTGTGCAAGGGAAAGGTTTTCGGGCTCAATTTGGTCATGATGATCTACATCGCTTTCAGAGTCGGCTGGTAGAATATTTGGTACGTCGTTAGTGACAGCTTCAATTGTTGGTTGACACAATGGCTGGCATAGCTCGTCAGGTGTTACTGGGTGTGTAGGTGCATTCTGGGAGACATTTTGAGTAATAGGTTAATCTTCGTCAGATGTGGAATAATGAGTCATTGCGTGAAGTTCTGGTGATGGCTTTATCTTATAACACTTGTTGAGTTTCACACAATATGCTGTTTTCCAAAACTGGTGACCAACAAATTTGCGAACGTTACACCATTGGCCATCGATTTCAGAGACAAGGTAAAGGTTGCAAGCACATATTTACTGGAATCAGTATGTAAGTAAACTAGGTCTCCAACCTTAATATACGTTCCAGATAGAATTTTTCCATGGGGAGCTTTGGACTTCTCACTGTAGGCATGGTTAGATAACCTGCTGAAGTTTGCGATCAAAGAAGAGTCAACTATAGGTAATTGAAGGGATGTGAACTGATCTCTTTGAGTCCAAAATGCCCTGGCAGCTGCAAGATCGGATCAGAGTATTCAAACGAGGGATGGAAATGGTTGGTGTCAAAGATGTTATCTGTCTACCTGTTGGTTGTTGACAAAGTATTTCTGAAAGGAATTCATTTATTGCTTTTTCAGCAATTTTTTATATTTGTAGGTCGACCTGTAGGCACAATAGAGACTACAGTTTTTATCCAATCTTGATGAAACTAGATATGCCTGATGAGATCTCGGACAAGTTAGAAATTAATAATCAGATCAACAGAGACATTGTTCATGTTTGAATTTCATGATAACTTGATGAACTGTTTCAGGTTTTTGCCTTGACTTATGGATGATTTTAAGAATATTTGAAAATTTATTACTAAGCCACTAAAGATTTTATCATTTCTGATAGCTGGTAGTGGGCGTATGTTACCTTGCCTTTCAAGCTATCTTTCAAAACTTTAAACATTCTTTGATAGCCTGGCAGAGTAATTATAATTAGTGATATAGTAGAACTGTTGGTTAATTGACACAGTTTACCTTTCTTTTGCCAAACATCATGACAGTATGGCTGTAGGCCATGGTATAGTAGACCTTTTCTAAGGGGAAATTAGAGGAAATTGAGATCAAATTTCACAGGTCGTTGAAAAATGTCCGACTGACAAAAAAATAAATAAACAACCCTGGTTTGACGTCTTTAATCTGAGTCAATTTCTTTGAATGCCGGTTACCTTGTATAAGATGGGCATGGACGCGGCACTCATTCTATATTTCTCTCCAGGCAGCATGATTAGCGTAAGGAAGTTTTACAGATCATTTATTAATCTCGTCAATTGATGATTTACGAACAACGGAATCATCGGTAGATCTTGTGATGGTACAAATTTGACAGGATGGTGATACGCAATCTGCAGCATTACGGCTCAAGAAGTCTGAGGGGAGGTTCACTGCACCTGCAAGATGATGAACTTTGGCTTGGTAACGGCTAATGGTTGAAAGATCCTAGGGCTTAAGGAGAATTGGCCGCGTCATAATTTTTCAATTGCCTGCACGAAATAATGGTTTACTATCAGTCAAAATACACACTGGTGCGTGACTGAATGATCTAAGGACTAAAGTGTTTAGTAGCCACGGCAATAGATAGTGCTTTTATTTCCACAAGGGATCCAATCAGGCTGACATTCTCAGAGTTTGGCGCTGAAGAATCCGGCAAGCAATGTTTTGTTCTAATGTGTACAGAGTAGCTCCAATTCCATGGTTTTTGATGGCGCCATCTGTCACGATCCACAAGTAGTCGATTGGACGTGGAAGAACGATAGATTGATTACGTTGAAGAGATTTTTGGACTTTACGAAAGTCTTCTATACTTTGATCTGTCCATTGTATCTTATCACATGATTGTAAACCAGCTATAAGCGAATTTAACAGACTAAGAAGAGCCACGGCAATTGGGGATGACTCGGGCTAATACTTTGTAAGCTCCAATGAAAAAATAGTAAGGCTTTCGTGGTTTCTGGCAGGTTACAATTGGACAGAGATGCGATGCGATTGGGGCTGGCGTTAATGGAACCATTCCTCCATATCCAAGTATTGTTGTTGATGCTGGGCAAATAACGGTTTTATGTGGTGAAAGTCTTAGGCTATTTTGATGAAGCGACTCCAAAACAAGTTCCCAGGTATAGAAAGGTTCATCAACAGAGTTGGCACCACAATACAAAACATCTGCCAATGTAGTTACACACCCTTCTTCGAATAGGTGTCGAAGAACATGACACATGAGTTCTTCCAGGGTAGTTTATGACCCTGGCATGCCCATGGCAGAACAAGCATAATCACGAATTCCTTTGAAGGGCGTTGCTACCCCGCAATATTTCATGGAATCTTTGGCCAGGTGAATTTGGTAAAAGGCATTTGTTAAATCTGTGGTGATAATATATTTCCATTTTGCAATTTGTCGGAGAATAGAGTCCACATCGGGCATTAATAATGGCTGTGGTTTTTTGCGATCAGGGTTTAATCGGATTTGCATTGTTTAAATGTCTATTATATCAGTGAAAGATTCCTAACAAGCGGTGGTAATAATTTATTGAACAAAGTAATTTTGAAACATGCTTAGAAAACTAAGAGGTAGTAATATAGGCCTTTACCTTTATCGTGATATATTGATGATAAATATCATCATATCTACTTGCCCAATCAAGCCCAGCTAGTCCCAATACTATTACTTAATTGTATTATAAGAAACACTCTTCTTCTTTTCCTATACAGATTTAGAAAATCCATGCACATTTCGAGATTTATCAAAACCAATTGGTGCGTTGAATGCTGATAGATTAGAAAGTATTTTGGTAAGTCTTATAGAATTTGCATTTTCCTTGTTTTTTCGAAAAAATATTTTAGTGGAATGAATGGTATACATGCAAATCAATATCAGTGTCCACCACCCGCGTGATACTATCGAAGAACAAAACTCAGAAATTATGGTTAACGATTGATAGAATGAAATTCGTCCACTAGCAGGTTTGATTTTTATACGCTCACATGGAAATGTGGACGTATATTGCCATCCTCCTCCGCCCGTCAGTCCACATTTATTGTATGCATGATAGAGGCTACAGCTTTAATCTGATCTTGATGAAACTTGGTATATGCATGTATATATTGATGAGATCTAGGTCAACTTCGAAATTGGTAGTAATTGGATGAAACGTTTCAGAATTATTGCCCTTGACTTAGTAAAAACGCATATATTGATGAGATAATTATCAGAAGATTGGTTTTGGATTTCGGGGAAGGGAGGGTTTGATTCTCCCAAATGTACAGGCCTAGGGTGGAGCAGACACTTTATTTAGAAATTAGGATTAAGGGTCTTGATATTGGGTTTTCTTCTGTTCTTATTCTGATCTGAAATTAGAAAAAATAACTCGTCCAATGGGCAAGAAGTATAGTATCTGTTATGTACTGATTGTTTTTAGTTTACTATGAACAATATTATCATTTAAGTTCTTATTTTTTGAATATGCAACTATCATTTTCTACTTATAGACATGGGGGAATTTCTCTTGAAGGCTCTTATAGTGGGCATGAACTATCGTGATTGCTCGATTGCTGGTTGTATTAAACGGGACAACAAAAGGTGCTATGCCTACATTATGATGAATATTTAGTCCTATAGGTCTTGCTGTATTCAATGTCTCAATCCAATGGACTTCCCTAGATTGACGGAATTTGGTAGTTTCATCTTCGGGCAAGTCAATTTCTATACGCTCAATTGGGATTAGGGTGAGATCGTCTATTGAATGGTCATCGAGGTTGAAAAGATTAGAAACAGGCTTGTCTTTCTTTAATTTGATGTCTGACCTATGAGCATTAAAGCGAGTTCGTAAATTATTCTTAGTTTCTCCTACATATTGTTTGGGGCATTTCTTGCATGAAATTAAATATATTACATTCGAATGTTCACATGTTAGATGTTAGATCGGGTACCTTTTATTCATAGAGTTGCTTACAAAATAATTAGTTTCTGATATAAAGGGACATGTTTTGCATCTACTGGACAAACATGGAGCACTTCTTAAACCTGGAGGTACTTCGGCATAAAGTCTGTTTTTAGCTGCTATCTGTGCTAAGGTGGAATTTTTTATGTTTCGTAAAAATCGTTTAGAGTACCCACGCTCTTTCAGTTTTGAGAAAACAATCGTACAGGCTTGGTTGAAATCAGAAGATCTTGTACAAATCCGATGAAATCGTAAAACTTGTGACTTAATTATACCAGAAAAGGTATGTTTTGGGTGAAAGGAGCTCTTGTGCAAGAGTTGATGAGTATCAGTTTCTTTGAAATACACTTTCATATCCAGTTTATTTGTTTCTGCTATGGAATCTCCCTTAAAGACTGTGGTATCGAGAAAGTCTATGCTTTTGTCACTCACATTTGCGGTTAGTTTGATAGAAGGATGGTGGTTGTTGAGAATTTCAAAGAATTCCGAAAACTGTTCGATAGAATAAGTCCAAACCATAAAAATGTCATCCAAAAAGCGTCCGTAAAAAAGTGGGTCAAATAGACAGAGGGGCAACACCTCACGTTCCCACTCTGCCATGAAAAGGTTTGCGTACGAAGGGGCGAATCGTTTGCCCATTGCTGTCCCTGAAGTTTGTAAATATGTTTTACCATTAAATGTGAAATCGTTTCGACTAGACAAATCTCTAAAAGCTGTAGAATTACATCGTCGGGTCTGTTTGGATCTGGATTTCTATTAAAAGCTTTACGAACTGCCGTTAAACCAGTAGTGTTATCGATATTGGTATACATAGAAGAAACGTCGATAGAAATTAAAATAGCATTAGAGGGAACTCGAAGATTTTTTATTTTGTTGACAAAATCGGTTGTCTTTAAGGTAGGCGCGATGTTGACATGCTAGAGGTAGTAAGAAATGATCAATGTATTCTGACACTGCATATGACTCACTACCAAAGTCAGATATAATTGGCCGGCCTTTAGGGATTTTATTCGAGATAAACCACTCCTTGGTTGGATAAATTGATGAGCTCTCAAGTTCAAAATTGGTAATAATTGGATGAATGGTTTTTGAGTTACTGCCCTTGAATTAATTTAATACGTCTTATTTGGCTTGTAGGCCTGGTAGAGAGTACATTTTTTAATCCGATCTTGATGAAAACTTGGTATGAGACCTTAGTAAAGCTTGAAATTAGTAACAATCAGATGATTGGTTTCACATATTAAACCATTAGGCCACACCAATTTATAAACTTGGATTACGGGCCCGCCGACCTGCTTTTTTGACGAATCCCAATAAAAATAAAAATGAAAAAATCTATTTTTTTTTATTCTTACTGTGTCCGCCGATGTAAAAATTTCAACACGAAATCCTAAAGGGACGTAACTCTGTTGATAAGTTGTACTCGCTTAGCGAAAGCGTTCACTGTTGAATGGTCAGTCAGTGTTAATAAGACAAAAGGCTAGTTCCACGATGTTTTTGATAACGGTCTTGAACCGAAGCTATTTTCATTCGAAAGATAAATTGGTTTGTAATATGTTGATTGTTGGCTAGATAGTTTTAAAATTTGTTGTATTATGAGATTAGTTCTGGAAATCTGGAAAAGCCTTTCAAAAAATAAAATAAACCAACAACACATGATTTGTGATTTGGTTCGTTCCAGTCTGCAAATTTTGTAAAAATTCTCTCGTCGGCCATTATTCAATTGTTGTAATGAAAATACATGTATGTGAAAATGTGAGAAAATGAGCGTTGAACTCGATGTTTATATCAACGTCTCCATATGTACCGAGGGCCGTGTCACAAAACGAACTATAGTGCGTGCCTCTGATGACGAAAATGTTGGTAATTTGTTGACGCGCTCCGGATGGCAGGACACAGAAGAAGTAACCGTCTCCAGCGTTAAAGCCAGTATCGAAATAGACCATGAAACTACCGATGTAGAGATAGTTACACCCGTAGCAGTTTTAAGACAATTTAAATTTAATTTTGCATTTAATATGTGTTATCTTTGACATTTTAAAGGCTTTCGACCTATTCTCTTTCCTGTATCTAAGATATATTTTGAGTGTATTTTGTTTTAAAGGCATAATTACACACATGACATATCACCTTTAATCTTTTCAATATATTCATTGAGGCTCAATTTAAGTTGTTTGTTTCCAAAGGATATAAATAAAGTTTAAAAATACATTCCTTTTTCGTCTTCTTGAAATGCAGATTTTTTATTTTTTTTATTTTTATCCCCCCCTGCTCCCTGCTTTTTTCAAAAGTTTTGCCCGTAATTCAACTAATTAAATTGGTGTGGCCTTACAGACTTTATCATTTCTGGCAGCTATCTTTAATAAAAATACTTTAACAATTACCCGAATGAAATATTCAACCTTTAGTCAAACCCTTCTTTTGCACTCTTTTTTCAAGTTTTTCAAATTATGTCAAGAATTGTGCCTTCTAGAGTGTTTACAAGCTAAAAATTTAAATCAGTTTCAAGAGCAAGGGCAAAAAATCATATTCGATGATTTAGAATTTACTGATTTTCAATAGAGTACATCCTTGTGTGATTAAAAATAATTTCACCAAGTTTCTTCAAAATCTATCATCAATAGTGTGCCTTCTATAAGCCTTTCTCATTGAAAACGAGGCTCGGAATACACCGCTGGCGTTTCATTATTGTGTTTTGCTTTGTAATTGCAATTCGAAGTACGACACTGGACTGAATCTTTTCTTCCATAACAAAAGATGAAAAGATCATCATTTTAAACACAAAACTTCACTAATCCCTGTAGAGTTAACCATTCATTGTGAATGTAGCAAGGTCCCATCCCTGACCTGTGCACCTTGTCATTTGATAGACTATTTGAAATCTAATCCCCATTCTTCAGGTCCTTTTTTCCAGTTTCCTGGAGGCATGCCAGTTACATACAATTTTGTTAACACTAGTAAAATTTTTGGGTCTGAATGAGTCACGTTATAAATTACATTCATTCAGGATAGGTGCTGCAACAACTGCTTTCCTTAAGGGCTATTCCGTGGAGTCTATTAAAAAGAAGGGTTGTTGGGGTAGTAACGCCTTTGAAAGTTATATTATTCTGCCTAATTTGTCTGTATAAGATTTGGTGGAGGGCTCAGATAAGCGCAGTGTAGACTGCCCTGGGCTTTCTTCCAAAATTTATGTTTTTCTCTAGTTAATGTGATAAACTTCCAGGGTAGGGCACAAAACAATATTTTGGCACTTGAAAGGATTAATTTGATTGACAGATAGGTGTTAAAGACGGTTCATGCCCACTAGGTCACCGCTTGGGTCTTAATTAACCATGTAGAAACCAAAAACGGTGACTTCGTGGGCATTTTGTCAAAAAAATGGATTTTGAGAACAATAGGATTACTGGGTGTTATCATAGTACACTTAAGCCGATGTAATCAGGTTATAGCCAATTAACAATATTTTTCAAGTAATTCATTTATTTTCAACATTTACTATTTCAGTTTTAACAAATATGATACAGAATCTGCAAACTCGTATACATTTAGTACGTTACTTCTATACTGTTCTATATTATTATAGTCTTGATTCAAGTGTCTTGTATTTTCGTTTTTTGTGGAGGTTGCTGCTGACCGGCCACATACTGCACCATCCTTATTTCCATGGCATCTTGCTCTTCTTTCAAGAAATTAATGATTTCGAATATGTTGGGGTGGGCTTTTCCTACAAGTTTCTTTACATGGCTATGCCAGCCTTCTAAGTTGTTGTTAGTTCTTGGGGTGTCCGAACCATAATGGTTCCATTCATGTAATCCATAAACAGCCTCCAACCATTGACTTGTAACATAGTCTGTAAGTTCTACTAATCTGGGGTCGTCTGGTATATCAACCATGGCATTGATAAAAACATCCCCCACCGTATCGTTTGGAACCATTGGTAATACCAGAGATACCAAACAATGAGTGACACTGATAATTAGTTATGTTAATATTAAAAAGTGAACGATTGTCATGAATTTATGTCACTGTAATGAACTCTTAACACCTTTAATCATTTTAATCACTTTAATCAACTGTAAATCATCAAATAAAATAAAACGGTGACTTTGTGGGAATTTGTAATTTTTAAGCCGTGACCTTGTGGGAAGACACCGTTAAAGACAGGGTTGATAACAAAACAGTTGATTTGACCCATTTACCTCTCACATTAGTCATGGTCCAACCCACACAGGTTGTTATCAGTATGGCTAGAGCATAAATTAAATTAATTATGTAATCTTATGTAAACTCGAATAAAAAGTTAAAATTTTGTACTGACTTCTTTACAAACTGTGCGTAAATTCACGGTGTCTATAATCCACCTTGTCCTGGCAAAATTTCCCTCATGGCACCCTGCATGGCATTGCCCATCTTCATTAGCCCACAAGGTGCAGAAGAGTAGGACGTAAAACTCCATTCATTTCATTTCATTTCTATAATCCACCGACAGTAATTTTTGAAGTGGGCGTGTGCATTTACTTTACCTGAAATATTTGCAATTGTCATAACTTGCAAAGTAAGCAATTGTTACCCTAGAAATTTTGCATGAAAATAGATCACTACTTAGGACAATTTGTGATAAGATTACAGTTGTTTGCGTTCTTTACTTTAAGAAAGGGAATAGGTTTAACAATTTGATAAATTTTCATTTTAGATCTTTAACATAAATGACCTTGACCTTTGCATGGTCAAAGGTCATTGACTTAAGATGACCATATTTACTTTGATATTTGATGTCCAATATATACTTCCGGTTTTGCAGACGTCCGAAAAAAGCAATTTTCGAAACTTCAAAGGCATATATTACTTTTATTTGACCTTTGTTGACCTCTTGACCTGAACAAAAGTTGTTGCCTACAGCCAATTGCAAATCAGGATATTTAACTTTGAAGAGCTCTGTCACGTGACCTAATTTACATACGTGAAAATTTCTCTTATGTCCTTATTACACGCAATCTATTCTTTCAAATGATATATCACACTTGGTATTTTTATTAAAATTGTGCTTTTTAGAATTTGAAAATTTTGTATTGACTTCTATAGTAACTGTGTGTAATTTTAACGGTGTCTATAATCCACCGACAGTCACCGTTGCCTTAAAAAACTTTTAACTATGAATATCTCATGATCTAATGATTGTAAACACTTGAAATTTTGCACATTATTTAACATTGTACACATTATTAGAGACAACACAAAATTTTTTAAGTGGGTGTGGCAAATCCGGGTTACTTTTACCTTTACCTTAAATAATTCAAATTGTTATAACTCTTAAAGTTTGCATTTGTCACCATCGAAATTTTACATAAAATTAAAGCACTATTTGGGACAATAAGTGGCAGAGTTACATTTTGTTTGGACCTTTTACTTTAAAAAAGGGAATAGGCTTTACAATTTATAAAATTTTGATATTTTGATCATTTACATGCATGACCTTGGTCTTTACAAGGTCCAAGGTCATTGATCCATGATGTCCATTCATACTTTTATCTTTGATGTCCGACATATATTTCCGCTATTACAGACTTCCCAAAACAGCAATTTTCAACACTTTTAAGGCTTATCTCTTTTATTTGACCTTTGTTGACCTCTTGACAGTAACACAAGTTATTGTACTTCACGAGACCTTTCCAAACATGTTTCCATTTTCGTTGTGCGAATTGAACTTTTACTTTACAGCTATTTGAAAATTCAAATTTTTACTACCGAATGGTATCAAATTCATGCGCCTTTTCACTACCGAACGTTAAAGGGTTTAAACAATTTTTTTACTTTTGAATGTTTACATGCTTTTCTTTCCGGTAATAAAACTCATTGTGACTTTAAAATGCAATGTTTTATCGATGTATCAGGTTAGATGCTCGCTGCTTTGGTACTGTTATCACGGTTCTAGTTGTCCCTTCTTTTTTTTTTTCTTTTTTTTCTCGAAAGCCTAGACTGCAGTAGTTGCAGCAACCATTCAACTTCTCTAGACCTCCTGTAGTGGCAACGTGTTCCTTAAATATATATTGGAACATTTTTGCAAAACCGGAAGTGCCACAGTTCAACATATGCAAAACGTTGAAAATCGGCTCTAGAAGGCGCATTTTTGCGTCGATTCTCTGCGGACTTTCATTTTTAGAATGTGTCTGTAATTTTTGATCTGATAGCTCTTGCAGAATTACGAAATTTGAAAATATGTCGCTCACTTTTTTCGAACTTTTTTGTTTTTGCATCGATTGATCTGAAATTTGAAATTTGAAATGCAAAGAGACTTCACTAAAGTAAATAATATGGTACAGTCAAATATTTAAATTTACTTCCGGTTTTAAACGGGGAATCAATTGAAATTTGTGCTATTACAAAAAAACATAGGCTTAAAAGCACCAGAGTTTAAAGCCAACAAACTAGAAGTTTCAAAAGGTTCAAAATCCACAGGATTAGGTCTCGTTGCGTCGTTGTTCACAGTTCTAGTTATGCTTGATCTCTGACAGCCAACGACACCATTGTCTGGATGAACACAAGTTGTCACCATCGGGTCATTGGTGTCGAAGAAGCCGCATACACTCTAGGCTCAGTTCTTGGGCCTGTGTTATTTTCCATATATATGTCACCATTAGAAAAGTAAATATTATTTCCTATCATGGATTAAACTGTGTCATATTTGCTGACGATTCCAAACTGTTCATGGCTTGTGATTATTTTGTATTGGCCCCCATTGAGGCCTGATTTACCGCGATCAGCCAATGGATTAAGGCAAACATGCTTGTACTTAATGAAACTTTTTTGCACCATGTGGGCTAATGAAGACGGATTGATGGGAATACCTTCCTAGTACAGACAGTTACCACAGTAGAACAGCTGAAAAATCTAGTCTTACTAAACCATATATGTTGCTTTTGCTTTGAAGAAATTCTGAAATGTATTTGATGACTTAAAAGTGTAACATAAAATACCAAATCGGTTTAATTTCTTATTTAATTGCAGGAACGGTATGCAGATATGCCAGAGCCGAAATTTATGTATGGTTCTCATTATTCCACTCCTGGTTATATTCTTTTTTATTTGGCTAGAAAGGGTATGTTCTTTGTTAAATATTGTTCACTTTCACGGGTTCAAAAAGCATCAATCTAATTAAAACAAGAGCTAGGAGGCAGTGTTTATCCCATTGTGTCCAAACCACACCCCCATCATACTTTCTCAAGACAGTGGTAATAAAAGTGAGAGAAATTACGTATTCATAGCTAAATAGTGTAAAATCAAAGTTGACCCTGCTATCTCAATCAAACTTGATATGCATGTATATATTAATGAGATCTCAGTCAGGTTCAAATTGGTAATAATTGGATGAACGATTTCAGGATTATTGCCCTTGACTTTCTTAAAAAAATGTCAAATTTGGCTTGTATGCACAAAAAAAAACTAGTTTTTATCCGATCTTGATGAAACTTGGTATGCATGTATCTCGGTCAAGAATGGTTTTGGAGTTATTTCCTTTGACTTAGTAAAAATGTTTCAAATTTTTGTTTGTAGTCATGATACAGGATGCAGTTTTTATCTGATCTCGATGAAACTTGGTATGAATGTATAAATTGATGAGCTCTCAAGTTCAAAAATGGTAATAATTAGATGAATGGTTTTGGAGTTATTGCCCTTGAATTAATTCAATGCGTCAAATTTGGCTTGTAGGCCTGATAGAGACATTTCTTATCTGATCTTGATGGAACTTGGTATGAGATCTCAGTAAAGCTTGAAATTAGTAACAATTGGATGATTGGTTCACATATTAAACCACTAAAGACTTTATCATTTCTGACAGCTGGAAGTAGGCATATGTTACCTTGCCTGGCAAGTTATCTTTATGAATTGTGGTGTGATGATTTATATTGATGAATGAAATGAAATAAGTGTTGTTTTACGTCATTTTATTTATATCTTGATCAAGTTTGAATTTTCAATGATTTTAATTTTTTGCCCTTGATATTAGAGCTGTGATTTAATAATTTGATGTATTTGAGTTATTGATATTGATTTTTAAAAATTTTGTGAAATTATTCAGCATGAATAACTGGCAGTAAATATATATATCATTGAATTCAAACTATTAAAAGTTCTTTATTATGAGAAAATTCATACTTTAGTCACTAAAGAATGTTTTATCATTTCTGACCGCTACCAGTGGGTATATGTTACCTTGCCTGGCAATTTTCAATGTGATTATCCATCCTAGGCCACCATTAAAAAAACTTATCAGGGAAATAGGTGTAATGTTTTTAAATATGACATTCGTTGTTGGTTTACAAATTAGTATTAAAATCAGGACTTTGATTTACTCTATACAGCATAAAACATCACATTTTCACATAAGACATCATGTAAGGACATTCCCTTCATTACTCGACAATCTTTACTCTTAAAAATGGAGAGTTCACATTGTCTCCCTTTTACTTTAATCAATTTCAGACCACAATATCTGACTTTACAGAACACACTCCCCCCTTATTCACGGCGGTCAATAACACAATAATTCTTAAATACTCAATGTCTAACACATATAAATAATACAAATACTAAACTCTTGAATTAAAGTTTAACTCTACACTCTATTTCTTAAAATGCCAGACTCTAATAAACTTAAAATGCTAGACTCTAGTTAACTGAAAATGCTAGACTCTACTTAATTTAGAGGCCTGTACATTTGGGAGAATCAAAACCTCCCTTCCCCGAAATCTAAATACAATCAATCAATATCCTTTACTAATTCAATAGGATATGATCTATGAATAGGACGTTATAGGAATAGGAGTTATAATCTTGCCCTGCTTGTTCTGAACTCTTACAACAGCTGATCGAATATTATTATCACGGCTGTGTAAAGTTCAAATAACTATTCCCATTTCCCAATTTAAACACGACATCACTAACAGGACCTCTTTTTACACAGGAACAATGAAGCTCGCGTAATTCTGTAAGCTTCGAAGATACTTCTTCTTTTTATAGGAGTCAGAAGTCTTATCGCCGAATATCCTCTTATCAGTAGCAATCAATGGTTCTGTTAGAATTCTGCGTCCCAGAATTAGATGTGATGGAGTAAGAGGTTCTACACAGTTATCACTCACATATGTAAGCGAACAGGAATTCAATATCTACAAGCAAGGTTAATAATTCTTCATAAGAAAGTCTGGCATTTCACAAGGACTTCTTTAAACAAAAGCAGTAAGTTCTGTACTCTTAAATGTTCTTCCATTGTCAGATATAACTAAACCTGGAATTCTTCTTCTTCCAATAAAATGTCAGAAACTTCTTAGCAATAGGGGCTAGATCCAAATGTACAGCTCTGCTGCTGGCACATGTATAAAAAACAATGAAAACTTTGTTCATATTACCATCTTTGGAATAAATATCCTTGACATACAAAGTGCCAACATAGTCAACACCTATATTTGAGAATGCATAATCATCGGAAAGTCTGAGCTTGGGTAATGGTGGCGAATTAGGTACACCATACGACTTCCCTTCTAATCTCTTGTAAAGGAACACATTTTGAAATCTCTGGTCTAACAATTTGTCTCCCACCAAAAATTCCATAATTTCTCTCTTAACTGATGTAAAGTTTCAGTAGTTCCATGATGATGAACATCTAGATGACACTTTTTATTAACATTTTTGGTAAAATGGTGATTTTCTGGTAAATAGATAGGAAACTTTGCATTACTTCAGCATGATTAATTCTTCCAAAACATCTCAGTATATGGTCATCATTATATTTTAAATTAAGAGAAACCTTATATTGATCAAACTTACAACCATGTAAGCATTTCTGTATATCTTTGTACCACCTCATCTGTAACCTCAATAAGACTAGAAATACCAAAAAAGAAGGACCATGCCATCAAAGAATATTATTTGACAAATCTACAGCTTTACAACACCGGGAACAAATATCGGCAGGATTATTAAATGTTTGACAATAAAACCAACTATTATTAACTGCGTTTCCACAGACAATTGTGAAGCTTTATTGCCGAACACGCTGCGTTTACACTGAGTTTTTCTGGTTCCCGAACGATTTTGGTCTCGATCATAAAGTCGCACATTATTGACAGCACGCGATGTACAAGACTATCGTTAAATCGGAAGTACATTATTGCGCATGACCAGTTAAGGTAAACAAAGCAATAATGGCGGCCAATTCGATGTTAACTTATAAATTTTTAGTTAAAAAGAAGAGAAAACGCAATTCTTACAGTGGATGTAACTTGGACATTCGTAGATACTTGCAGCGACGAAAGAAAGTTCAAATGCTGATTTTGATTCTGATAAGAATTCTTTTTATCGACACGATTCACGCACGTCCTCGATCATTGTGGATGAAGCAACGTAGTTCGTATTGGTGGGATACAACTGTGTTAGAACATTTTACATACGATGATATGGATAGAAAACTTCAGAATGCCTAGAGAAACGTTTGAGGTAAGGGATTTGACAATTAGTTTTCATTCATCAAACATTACCTAATGTTTTCCCATGATATTCATGACTGGTAATGTCAGTCACTCCAACAAATAATTTACATTCACTAATTTTGGCTGAATATTTGACAATTGAATCATGAAAGAAGTTTACTGCTGTTGGAAATTATGTAAAAATCTTATGCACATACCATAACGGTTAACAGTCAATTTTTCGCTAAAATGATCCCAACCATTGTTAGTACTAACATGACCATATCCCCCAGACTAAGGCAGTAATGTTTTTTTTTATGCAAGGTTGTAGTTTACATGTTACATTTTTTTATTTTATAGTATGTATGTAGAAAATTAGAGCCATACCTGACAAAGAAAAACACCAACCTACGAGCAGCTATTTCTGTTAGAAAGAAGGTTGCCGTAACTATTTGGAGACTTGCTACTAATGCAGAATATAGGACAATTGGCCATTTATTTGGTATTGCAAGATGTACTGTTTGCAAGATAGTGAATCATGTGTGTAGAGTTATTAGTAGGGTGTTACAACCAGAATATGTGAAGTTGCCTAATGAGCAAGAAATAACACAGATCATGAACGGTTTCCAGAGGTGTTGGGGGTTTCCTCAATGCTGGAGAGCTATTGATGGAACACATATTCCAATAATTCGCCCACAGAAAACTCCAAATGACTATTTCAATAGGAAAGGATGGCATAGTATTGTCATGCAGTCAGTTGTGGATCATACTTACAAATTCATGGATGTTTGCATTGGTTGGCCAGGTAGTGTGCATGACGCTAGAGTGTTGGCTAGGTCAAATTTATACCAGAAAGCTGAAGAGGGTACCTTAATACCTGTTGGATTAACAAGCAGAATCAACACCATTACTTTTAGGCGACGCAGCTTATCCCTTACTACCCTGGCTTATGAAACCACACCCTGATACAGGTGTTCTTTCTGCTGATCAAAAGCGTTTTAATTATAAGCTAAGCCAAGCTCGTATGGTAGTTGAAAATGCCTATGGTAGGTTGAAGGGAAGATGGAGATGTCTCATGAAGAGATATGATTCGGACATAAAAAACTTAAACAATACAGTTTCTGCTTGTGTCACACTACACAATATTTGTGAAACATATAATGCAACTTTCCATGATGCTTGGATGCAACCAGACGTTTATCAAATGCCACGTGGGAATCAGAGAGAGGTAAACAATAATGACACTCCTCAATCATTTCGCAATCATCAGCGAAAATTTTAAGGAAAATTGCGTTTGAAATGTATTGACATTATTTTATTTTATTTTGAACATAAAAGTTTTTATAAACATAACAAATTAGTATTTTTTTGTATACAATCCTGGCTATTTTCTTCAAAGCAGATCCAGTTCAATTGTATTGAAATGTAATAAATCAAAGAATGGAATATATTCAAGTTAAACTAGTCAATTTGTGGACGGATGACATTAAAATCTTAAAGAAAGGTCTGCTTATATACATGTATAAAAGAGTTCATTATTTGTGAAAAGGTTTCAGAAATTTAAATGTTACCTCAATTCATGTAACTTCATTTAAAGATATCAAATGAGAATTAATATTTTGATATATTTAAATGAAATTATAATGGATCCAATTCTTCAGATTTTGGTCTAAAATTCTCGGAATATTTTTTTATGATAATGATAAACAATTATAAATGGACGGGTCAGAAAAAATCAAGTTACATGTAACTCATTACCAACTACTAACATTAGTAGAGGTTTTGATAGGACATGTATTGATCAGGATATTGCTGCTGAGTATTTTGCGTTTGTGATGATAAAATCCTCAGCACCTGTAATTCGTGAGCTCGTTCTTCAGCACGAATTCTCTCATCTCTGTCTCTTTCCTCTTTTCTGATCTTTTCTGCCCTAAGCTGTCCCTCTTTAAACATTTGTAAAAAAGATGCATCTGCTTCCTTCTGGTATGTCATTATATCCTGTATACTACTCAGAACATCATCTTGTTTTTTGGGTTTGCAGCGAACTGCAAAAAGATATATATTTAAAAAAAAATGTAAATTAACCTTAAAATAGAAAGATAAGGGAATAATACTATCATTTTTTTATGAGTCTGCTAGAGCAAGAATGTTTTGATCAAATTTGTGAAATTATCAAATCAAGAAATATGTGCCCATGAATGTAAACAAAATCCAGCAGTTAATTTTATGCTGAATATTCTAAAAAACATTACATAAGGTTTTTAAGATTATTATGCCTTTTGGTGTCAGTAAACTTTTATGCAAACAAATCTTTTCACATTTAAAAAAAAAAACATATTCAATACCTTTGCATTTTGTAGTTGATTTTGGAGTATCTGTTGATATATCATTATCATCACTAGTTGATGTTGACCTTTTCCTGTTAAGGAATGAAAAAGCTAAAAAAAGAGAGAAAAAACATTCTAAGTACATGTATACCAAAATATTGAATATTTCTCCATAACAACTATTTGTCATAAATAAAGGAAACAAAACAGATGTGTATAATATTAAAATCCACTTGTGATCAAGATACTCAGCAGGGTACTCTAATTTAAGATTATAACATTGTTCAAGTTAAATGATTTGTAAGTCATACTAAGTATAGCTTTTGTTTAAACTTCCTGTCATAAATCTCACCTTTCTCAGCATCAGTGTGTGATAAAGATGGTCCTGCAGGGGGGGTAGGGGGCAATATATCTGGGGTAACATCTGCTAAATCTATTTCATTATCATTTTTCCCTGAAAAAAACAATTAATGGTTAATGACATTTCCTTGATACAGTACATCTTTTAAAACCAACTATTTCATCAACTTTCTTTAACATTGTTAAAGTGGTAAATGAAATACATGTATAGGAAAGTTTAAATTCTGTTTTTTTTTTTATCAACTAAGTTATTGGCAGCCAAATTCCCTGAAATCAATTGTATAAACGTTTAAACACAATACCTTCTGATTCTTCTATCTGATCACTCGATTCCATTATGCTTCCCTCTGGTGGATTGATGGAGGGTTTGTGGCCAAGAATTTCATTTATCTTGTCATAGAACTCACAGGTTTTTCTACCACGGCCTGTTTTTCTTTTATTGTCTTGCACAACCTTATAATCTCTCCTAAACCATTTAACTTTATCTTGAACCTATAAGAATATGATATTTAACAATAAATATAACATAGAAAACACTTAGAACAGTACTTAGATCAGTACAATCACTTTACTGATTTCAAAAGACCTTTACCTTTGTCATCAACATTCCAATGTGAAGGTAACAGTGTGACCAAAAGATTTTGCAGATTAAGCTTACCAAGCCTGTGTTAATTGAAAAGTATTTTGAATTTTGGGGTAATTTGTTTTGAGAACTGGATTAGAACTTAAAAGCTTCACTATTGTTGGCCTTAAAATGTATTTGCATTGATAAATAGGGAAACAATTATTTCTGCAAAATTTGTTTTTTCAGAGTACAATTTATCAATCAAAATTAGTGACCTTCTTTGGTGGGAATTTCTATTACAGAAATATATTCTATTTAATGTAAACTTACAAAAACTATATTTTTTTTATCAAAGCAAGGAAATTTTCAGAGAAACATTTTCAGGCTGATATTGAAATTCTCATAAAAATAATTCAAAAAACTTTTCAACTTGAACTGACAGTACTTGTAGGGTAGGCCTACTTCATCTTATGAATATGGTACCGGTACACTAAAACACTGCTCAGGCCTAAACATGACAGGCTGCCCTTTAAAATCAAGTTTTTGAAAGAAATACAAATGCATCTTTTCCTGGTATTGTTAATTTTGAATAAAAAGACTGACGATTGAGACTGAAAACTGAAGTATCGGTAGTAAAAGTTTAGAATTTATACATGAATCGGGTCTGAATTTTAGAATAAAACTCACCTGTTGTTTAGTTTTTAAGTGGCCCATGTTAGCCAACTCTTTACTTATTTATAAGTAGACCTTTTTGTCTCTGATGGTTCCATCCAACAAGGCTTGAATATCCTCTCTGCCCCAAATTTCTAAAAGGGAGAGAGTCTCTTCGTCTGTCCATCCGTTTGCTATGGAAGCTGCCATTTTTAAAGTTGCGCGCGCTGCCGGAAAGACAAGTACGCCCCCTATTGCCGAACGAGAAAAAGCCGGCTTTTTGTGTTTCCACTGAGTAAACGAAAGCCGGCTTTCATTTGGCCCCCGATAAATTGCCGAACGAGAAAAGCTTCAATTGCTGAACCGTTACGGTTCCCGAACGCTAACAGTTCGGCAATTTGTCAGTGGAAACACAAAAAAGCCGGCTTAGAGCCGGCTTTTTATGTCAGTGGAAACACAGTTTTTATCTGAAGATTTACGAATCTCTATCAGACTATTGTTCACAAATTTTTTTTTTTTTTTTTTAATAATTTTTATTTGGAAGTTTGTGTAATGTTTCTTCCGACTATATAAGGTTTAGGTGATCCCTCCATTGATCAAAATTGCGAAAGTTAATGGAGAAACAAGCCCTCCTTATGCAGTCTGTGGAAGTAACGTTATATCCATTTTCTTTTAATAAGCAGTAATTGTTTATACGCCCACATGAAATGGGGGGCGTATATTGTCGTCACCCATGTCCGTCGGTCCGTCGGTCCACAATTGCTCGTAAACACTCTACATGGCACAATTCTTGACGGATTTTAACGAAACTTCGTATGTGTGTTCGCAATCACCCAAGGATAAACCCTATTAAAAATCAGCGAAATCGAAAAATATTTAGCATGAATTATTGCCCTTGTTAATTTTTAGCTCGTAAACACTCTAGAAAGCACAATTCTTGACAGATTTTGACGAAACTTGGTATGAGTGTTCGTAATCACCAAGGATAGACCCTATTGAAAATCAGCGAAATCGAAAAATATTAAGTATGAATTATTGCCCTTGTTCTTGAAAACGCGTTCAATTTTTAGCTTGTAAACACTCTAGAAGGCACAATTCTTGACAGATTTTGATGAAACTTGGTATGAGTGTTCGTTATCACCCAAGGATAGACCCTCTTGAAAATCAGCGAAATCGAAAAATACTAAGTATGAATTATTGCCCTTGTTCTTGAAAACGCGTTCAATTTTTAGCTCGTAAACACTCTAGAAGGCATAATTCTTGAAGGATTTTAACGAAACTTCGTATGAGTGTTCGTAATCACCCAAGGATAAACCCTATTGAAAATCAGCGAAATCGAAAAATATTTAGTATGAATTATTGCCCTTGTTCTTGCAAACGCGTTCAATTTTTAGCTCGTAAACACTCTAAAAGGCACAATTCTTGACAGATTTTGACGAAACTTGGTATGAGTGTTCGTTATCAACCAAGGATAGACCCTATTGAAAATCAGCGAAATCGAAAAATATTAAGTATGAATTATTGCCCTTGTTCTTGAAAGCGCGTTCAATTTTTAGCTCGTAAACACTCTAGAAGGCATAATTCTTGAAGGATTTTAACGAAACTTGGTATGAGTGTTCGTAATCACCCAAGGATAAACCCTATTGAAAAGGATATAAAAAGATTAAATTCAACAGGAGAAAAAAGGTGGTAAATATTAGCAACTCCCACCTGTCATAAACTCGATACATAAAACTTTTAAAAAAATATTTCGACCTAATTTGCTTGAATATAATCTGCAAATACACAATTCATGACAGACTTATTGAAATCACCCAAGGATAAATCTGATCAAAAATCTTGTAAAACACGTAATTTTTATTCTACAAAGCAGAAGTCTAAAACAAATTTGACAACTTGATGAAATTAATCACAATCAAAACTAAACCTTTTGAAATATAAAATACAAGTTATTGCCGTTATTCTTACAAATGTGTTTGATTTTTAACTTGAGATGGCACAGTTTGTGATGAATTTGGGTATAAGTTGAATATTTCCTGGTGTCTATGTTTGCTATTTTCTAACAAATATTCAATTTCAAACAAAGCTATCAGTGGGCCTGGCAAGCTATCTCTAAATAAAAAATTGCAAATGTTTTCAATGAATATATAATAATAATTAAACTATTGTCTCATCATTAGAATTATATTTCATTCGAGACGTTTAAACTATAGGGGTGTTTACAAACGTAAGATTGTAGAGTAACATCATAATAATGATAGAAATATTTCCCAAATATTCTGA